TGGTGTATGATGAGTGGTGTATGATGAGTGGTGTATGATGAGTGGTGGTTGAACAGCTGTTGAATGTCCGTAACACGGAAGTTTTGCACACTAAACTTCCTTTGACTATCCACTTCACCTCTGAAGGTCCTTTCTTTAAGTCCTTGCACTTTGTTTGAGCGGGGAGAAAGAGGGGAAGGCTCCGAGAGGGGAAGGCTTCTAACACGGAGGAGTTTTCTTCTCTGTGCTCTTTACGGGTCGGTCTAACCGGACCGAGTCGGTGTTTCCCCAAACCTGACTCCCTGGAGATAAAGGCTGAGAAAGGTGATTCTTGTTCCAACCCTTTTCGTTTTGAGTGGTGGAACACCGAGAAAGCAACCCCCAAAAAGCTTTTGCAGGTGAACTTTTCCTGGGGGTGGGAAGTCGGAACTCAGCGAGGTACGACCTTCGACCTGAGGTTCTCTCTTCCATCCAAGGCACAACGCCAGGCTGAGGACGGCGATCACGCTGTTCTGGCTTCAATCAATGTGCAGCACAGGTTGGCTTAAAAGAAACAAAGTCCGCCAGCTTCTTCAGTTCGTGCCCTTCTTAGAAACCTCTCAGCCCCTGCAAATTAACATGCCCAAAGCCATGCATGTCATGGGATAGTGACATACCCCATGACCCCATCTAGCCTTGACCCTCATGTCGGTAACTATTCCATACATGGAGTGTCAGGGATGGGTCTGTAGAACCCACTGGGTTGGGCTTCGGAACAGCTCAAAATCTCTAGGGTCCAGGGGAGGCTTCGTCTGCGGGGGGGAGGGGTACCCTGATGGGTCAAACCTCCCCAGTTGGGCGGTGAGGAACGTGTACCGCGACCGACGTGAGACGTGAGGTTGAGAAATGTCTTTTACTTCTTTAACCTGATCACTGGTGCTTTTTCTCGATTGTAGGTGGTGCGAGAGGGCACTGTCTGCAACACCGTTGAATCGTTCACGATGCCAAACAGCGCCCCAACGGGTTCGATCCAAGACTCTGGACCGCCTGACGGCGCCGACCCCACGAGGCCATGTCAGGATTGCTGATGGTGCGTTGCTGGTGAAGTCCAACATGAATCACCTCTTAGACGTACCCCAATGGACCCCCCGAAAGCACCATGCTGTTGGGGGAAATGGCACTTCCATGGGTCACTTCAGTAGCGAAGGTCTCATGAAGAGGAACCTTGAAGCCACCCCAGTCGTCTTCGACCCAAGCCACGACCCCCAACTCTCACCCCTGCAAGCTGCCTTCAGCACTGGGAAGGCAAAGGCTTGCTGCAAGTACTCCTGGCCATGACAAGCAATATCAAAACCTGGAGCCCGTGTCACCGTGGTAGGTTGACCTCGGTTGTCTATTCTGTTGGTCAACCAAGGACCCCGGTTTTGACCCCTAGCCCAATGGCTGCATCATGCTGCATCTTGCGGTGAAAGGGCAGCAAAACAGACTGACCGCTAGTGAGAGCGAGCACCTCCAAAAAACAGGTCTATAGGATTTGAGTAAGCAGTTCGTTCGGATGCTGCTCCCACTTCACGTTCCTGGACCATCCAACATGTTCATCCACCCGCTCCAGCACCGACAGTGTTCGTGGGCCGTGTTCGCCAGCCTGGCTCTCAAGCTCCGGCATGCAACTTAACTTCACCAGTAGCACGAAGCCGCTGAGGATGAAGAGGCCTGGCTGGTGGGTGTTACCGTTGGAACCGGTGGGTTTTCATGTGGTCCATCCTTTGCGCCTCAGTCTGAGGCTAAAGGCTCAACAGATCCTGCTCTTTGGTTGAAATGAAGCGGTTGAAACAGATCCGATCTGAGCTCTTTGATTGAAATCCTGCTTGATCAGGGCGTGGGGACCCCTTAGCCCCTCAAGGGGATGTGGGGAGAAATGCCAGACACTTCGAACGAGAGCCGGACGTGGATGTGCACCAACCTCCCTCCCCGCGGAACCTGGCTTCGTCCAGCATCACAGCCCAACAAATCCAAACGAGCTGCGTGGATGCGGCACACGAAAACGCGTGTGACTTGAGATGATTTGAAACACACAGACTCCAACAATACCACGAGCCACTAGCTGAAATGAATGAAACTCCCCCCCAGTCCGCTTCTGGCCACCCCAAAGAAAAGAAAGAACACATCCAAAAGCCCGCACCCGGTGCCAGAACATGACCCCAACGCAGTGCCTAGCATCGCCACGGCAGACATCATGGCCACCCAAAAGCTCCGGTAATTGGCGCCACCGACACCTGGGATGAGGAACGCGCCAGCGAAGAACATACCCTGACCAGGTCAGTTTGATCTTATTCTACTGGAGTTGGTCATACAAAAACACAATTCAAGCAAGCAAACAAGCTGGTTTTACTGGGTCAGACTGGACGTGTTGGGGTGGGGCCCTGAACCATGGGTTTCATGGCTGCGTGGGAGAGGTGTCCCGCAAATGGCTCATGATGATGCTACGAGCACATTCACCAGCTCATGATGATCTTGGAGTCTAGGGCATTTGACCAGCCAGGCGCAGCGGGCACAGCCGGGGGCGAATCTCGGCGAGTTTCAAGACGGCGTCGTTGGTACGTAACACGTGCGAGACCAAGCATCTGTCTGACACTGGAATATCTATCCACATTGAGCCCGGAATCCACCCATCCCAATACAGTCGTACTGTCTGGGTTAATCCAATGACCTGTACCGAGGTCTGAGTGCTATTGGAACCTCATTGAGAAACCGTTTCTCACCCCAATCTTGTGACCTGTCCCTGATGCGCAACTGGCGTCATGGCTCGATCTGCCGGTGTTCACCCCTGGCTGGCCCTTGGTTCCTCACCGAAGCGCTCAAACCCCGGACTCTTCTGACCCTTCCATGCCCTTCCCGCGCCACAAACCGGGGCAGCGGCAGTTGTTGAGCCAAATGCAGTGATGATCGAACTTGGAGACGCACCTTGGACAATCTTGGACAGACCAAAACCGCTCTCAGCGCCGAAGGTCGAAAGAACGGGGGGGGGGGGGCTACGAGATGTGAAAGCCAGTCTGGTGCCGCAATCACCACCAGTTTGAAGATGTCGTTTTGGTCCCAGGACCTAGGCACCCCCAAAAAAGGCAAGTGTTCCAGGCTACGCCAGAAAGTTTCTAAGGCCAATGGCATTTAGTCCAGGCAGGCTGAAAGCACAAATGGCGCAAACCCAGCTCAGCTCAGTTCAACAGTTGGACAGCCTCCCAACATGTATTACACTATTTATCTGCAGGCGAAAAACCACGGCAATTTGTGGGGACTGCTTGCACACAACAAGGGCTTGCCAAACACTATCCAAATGGAGCTACGCCAGCAACAATACGCGATCTGCTTACATGTCTGGTGAGGGAATCGTCTTCCGAACTGTCTGACGTCTTCCTTGCCGCACCGGTTCCGTCGGGATTCCGTCGGGATTCCGTCGTTGTCCGGTAGGCCACCGTGATGAAAGAAAACGCCTGCTCAACCTCCCAACATCAAACAAATTGAACTGTTTATTTCCACCTTAGACCTTAGTTGAACCTTTGGGCAGAGGGCCGACTGAGGCGGCCTGTCATGCTTCTTGCGGCCAGAATGGTGTACAAGTTGGGGGGAGCAGGTGGCAAAACAGGCAAAAAGTCGCAAGACCGGGTAGAGGGCACTTGCCTAAGAAGAAGGATCCTTTAATGGTCGCTACTTATACCTCCTGACTCTCTCAGTTTCCCTGTGAACTATAAGCTTCACCTTTTTGTGTGTTCTTGAGTGGGGGAGAACGATCCCCCAAACAGGTTGGGCATCCACTGAGTGAGTGGGACTCAATCTTTTCTGGACTTTTGCTGGGTGTACATCTGCGGATGAGGATTTGAAACCTCCTTCCCCTAGGGCTCCAACCATATCCTCAGAAGGTATAGTTAGACCCCCGCAAGTCCACCCCAACCATCTTCGAAACGGAGGTGGGCCAGGAGCCCTAGGGTTCTGTCAGGTGGCCGTTGACAGGTGTTGCAATGCTCCGTTCGCCACTCCTGCGGCATGAAGCGCAGTCTGACGTTCGTCATGGCACGTCCGGTCCGGTCAAGAGGGCTCCATCGGTTCCAAGCCTTATAGACCTCCCAAAAGTAGATACAAACAGTATAATTAGATTTCGACTAAACGTATGGGGAAATCCGGGAACCGTTTTGATCCATGTATAGGAACCACTAAGTATCTGATGATCTGTTCGATGCAACTCATCCCATCGGCGCCGGGCCCATCGGACTCTGCAGTCAACCCGTCCGGGTTCGTCCGATCGGGCCTGGTTCGCCCGTCCTGACCGTAAGGGCCGCCCGAGTGCAGCAAGATAGATAGATCAAGCACTCTCAGAATCCGGGCCCGAAGCAACACAGAAGGATAGATAGGATAGGGCATAGGGGCATAGGGTGAAGTACTTTTCGGTCAGCTCGGTTGGTTGAAATGAAGCTGAAAACATCATGAGACACACCTGCGAAGTGAAGGGCTAAGCTGAAGGCCCAAGGATCAAGGAAAAGGAAGCTGCCCCTGCCCAGCTTCCCAATCGTGTGGGAGCTCAAGCACACGTCTGGCAACCACGGAGTTTGCACCTCCGACCCCCGGACGGCGTTTTCTCGTCGTGCTGAGCGTCCTGTCGCACGCGGCAGGTCCAGCAAAAGGGCTCTTTTTGCTGAAGATCGTCGAAGGCGCAGTCCGCATCTGTCCTGGGCAAACGCTGAAAGTGGAGCTAAGACAGGCATGCGGAAGGAGGATGAGGAGCTGGAGGTTGTAAGAGTGGAGCTGGTGCCAACAAAAGCACTAGGCTTTAGTAAGCACTGCCTGATGCGACTGTCCCTGTTTGGAGACCTGTTTGTGCCAGTGCTGGTGCTCGCCTGATCTTCACATGTATACTTTTGTTGCGCACGTTGTTTGAGTCACAGGTTGGGCCACATCCACATCCTGCTGACGGGCCACAGCTTGCCATTCTTCCATGGGACCTGGGCGCTTCAGTCTCTCTCAACTCTCTGGATCCCAATTCGCTTGGAATTCCCGTGTGGCGCTGTGAATCGGGCACAGCCATTGCCAGGAGCTACTGCCGAACCTGGCAGCTACTGGGTCAGACCTCCTCCAAACCCGCTCAGTTCTCCTGACTATAGTTCGTCCACCGGGAAAACCGGTTGTTTCGTGAACCAGGGATGTGTTTCTCAGGATTTCTCCAGTGACTGCAGGTCTGTCTTTGGGAGGCTTCCAGGGTTGGTTTCTCCTCCCAAACTCACATCTTTACATCGGCCCACGCCTCTGGATGGGAGGGGTCCGTGATCGCCACATGTACGCCCGCCGCGACCATGATGACCACCTTGGGACGTGGCACGAGCACATCCAGCAAGGACAAAGGGCACCTGTTTAGCAGAAACCGATGAACATCGTGATCCGAAACCCCATGTTCACTTCCATGTTCCACTTCCATGCCACACAATACCCCTTGATTGTTCCTATGGTCTGTGGTTTTGCATTTTGTATAGGCTCTATGGCTATGAAATGTAAGGTGTAGGATAGGCTCACTGAAGAACGCTGCTTTAAGGGAACTACAGGACAACCATGTTTATTATATATTATAATATATTATATATATATAAGGTAGAGCCTTACGCACTTAAACAACAAGAGGAAATACATAGGTATTGTCGATGTCGATGCCTTTGGGTTGCCAAACACCACAGCATCTCAGGGTTGTAGTCCAGAGGACAGCCAATCACACCGTTGGATGGATTGGATCCAAGTTTGGGGAGGTCTCATGCGGAATTGAAGCAAATGCTCAGCCTATTTTGTCATGAAGATTCATGAAGGCTTTTCATAGACGATTGGCGTGCTTCAAGAAGACATGCAACCTCTCACCGTTGCCAACCTGCCAACTGGTGCCCATCCCCCAAAACCATCTCCCAGTCTAACCAAGCATCGATCAGTGAGAAAGCCAAGGTCAATAGGACTTGCCCTGCAACGTCCTGCGACGATCATGTGCTGGCGCTGCCAAAAATCGATGGGATTCTCATGGATTCTCGAGCGATGCCGAAAGGTCATTGGAACATGTAAACTTCAATATGTCACAGAATACTTAATACTGCTAATCTTAGTTCCCTTTTTTCTAACTCTATAATTACGGTCATACCGTCTTTTTCAAGTTCTATCGCCTTTGTCTTTGTCTATCAACATGTCCTCGGCTCCTGGGGCTGGCCAACTGCATGACACTCAGAGATGGACATTCTCGATGCACGGACGGACTTCTTCATCTTCATCTTCATCTTCTTCTACGCCAACGACACGACCAACGCCACGGACGTGTCTGACGGTCGCGTTTCGACGGAACGGGCCTGGACCATGGGCGCATAGAAAAGCCCGAAGACCACCGCGTCCAGGGCAATGACCTTGGCGTTTCTTCGCTTGGGGGCCAGAATCAAGAAGCAAGCACCTGGAGTCTCCAAGTACCTCGAACAACAAGGGACAAGTACCTGTTTCTATTTAAAAATAGGGTCATGTCACATGTCCGATTTTCTGGGAGACTTAGGAGTGTCCAACTAAGCATGTATGATATTGTAGGGCTTGGTGGGTGTGGTGGATGGGGTGCAAGAACCGGACATTCAGATCAATGAGACTTTTCAGAAACCAAAGACACCCATGGTTTTTGTGTTGTTGGATCAACGTCCGAACTGACAAGGTGGTCAATTTGAAGGAACATAATGGAACATACATGTCCTACATCTTCTCAGCGCGCTTCTCTGCGACAAGTACACCTACCAAGCGCTCTTACCATTTGCATTTGTTGAGGCAAGAACTGGGGAGCACACCCACGAAAGACCTAGCATAGTCAAAAGAACATGTGCAAGTACAAAACGCAACAACTTTCACATTTGGGTGTAGCTTCCCAAATGAAGTCATTCCATCCAATTGCTTCCCCAATCTCTTCCGTCATTGCTCTCACTTTATTGCTCCGCTTTTTAGCGCCCAAAAAAGCGCCCAAAAAAGCGCCCAAAAAAGCGGTTCGCGGAAGGGCTCCACACCACGCACAAGCTGATTTGCAACGGACTGATGGGCCTGCCCAAGAAGGAATGGTTTAATCCGTCTGTTTGGACTCCTGGGCGACTCAGGGTTTCAAAGGTTGGTGCCGACTGTCGTGAGGACACCCCGACTGCTGGGCCTGAAGGTCTTTTGACTTCTTGGTTCACACATAACCATCATTGGTTTGCCATACATGGCCCTTCGGTGGGAGCCTCGTTCCTTGTTTCCAAAGAAGTGAAAGGCAAACTACAAGTATTCGACTCCAGGAAGAACCCCTCTGTGGAATGCACCCCTATGTTATTATGTTTGGGGCTACCTGGAGCTACCTCTTCAGCTTCTTTCATCACCCCCAAAGCCGCCGTTAAGGAGGCCGTTCTAACGCCGTTCAAAGCAGCTGCTTCAGATTCGCCACCCGCCTTTGAAAGCCATGCTTGCGAACGAAGGGAGGCGCATCCATTGGGAAGACCGACTGGACGATGGGGCTCAGTGAGAGACCAACATTGTGGGAGTCGCCACTGGTCGTTCTTTCAATTTCGGGCCATCTTCGGGGGGGTGGAGGTTCTGTCGGGATCTGAACGCAGGAGAGCCAAGGTTAGGTGTCACCTATTGGGCCAAGCTAGTCGGCTAGTTGATGTCATTGACCTGTCCTCCCAAAGGCTCCATGGCACTGGAATCTTCCCTTGCGGCCCCAGAGAAAAACAAAAAAACACCTCTTCAACCACCCCTCTAGCCCTTTTCTCGGCCAAAACCGCATCCATTCATGGAGTGTGTTGGGAATGCATGGGAATGCTAGCGTCTGGTCTTGGGCCCACGCGCTCTCACGCGTCTTACTCATGCTGCTCTTGAGCCGCCAGGCACCGGGCGCTGCTTTCGCTTGGCACGAGTCGGCCAGTCGAACGATGAAGACCCCCGAGGGCCCGGATGGTCCCGGAGGGCGGTTTTTTTTGGCATGTCTTTGCATCCCCCAAATCCGGATTGCGGGCAAAAAGGGGTGTCCAACAAGTATATGCATGCGAACGGCCTAGGCCCGCAAAAGGTGCAACAAGCGAACTGCTCCATCTGATGGGTGTTGTGTGAACCCGAATCCACTAGTGCCGTGTCAAAACCAACTGGGACCCACAAACAAACGAACTTGTTGCAAAATTGGAAAGGCTCCCCATGGCTCCCCCAGCCAGCAAGGAGTGTTTTTTTTCTGGCGAACCTGAGTTCAAAAGCTATACGGCTATACGGATCATGCGCAGTGTCTGAACTCTTTCGGCTCTTTTTGCGAAACGCATCTAAAGGATTCGAAGACACATGTACGTGGTGCTCGACAACAAACCTTCGGGACAGTACCCCAAAGGCGCAAAAAAGGTCTTCGAGCACCTCAATTCAAGGCCGCCATGCAAGCAGTGCAGCAATGGCTGTGCACACGAGTTGCTGCGTGCCAAGGAACACGTATGATCATGTATAAGGTCTTGACTTGACTGTGTAAAAATACAGGTATACGTACTTTACAAGACCATTCACGATATTGTCCCGACCATATTGAGTAAATCAATGAGCGCTTGCCGTGACAAAGAACAAATCACGTCAATTGTGACCCCAAAAGAGCAAAACCATCAACACAACAATCGCAACAGAGCAAGACCAAAACGCTCCCGTGGTCAACAGTCGCAACCATGGGAGGCAATCAACGTGCACAACGGGAGAAAAGCTGCGGAGTGCAGCTGGACTGTGACACCGACAACGTCTTGGGTGCCCCGAACGGCCGAAGCAAGTGGTGTTTGGACCAAGCGACTGTTGCCGCATCGATTTGGTCCGTTCGATTCAGTGGCTCAGCTTTTCAAAGTGCTAGAATAAGTCAAGCTCAGCTGCTCTAAACTCAATGACTTTCTGTCTAGGCGGTGCAGGGAAAAAACAACACACCCAGAATCTTCTGAAATATCACCAAAAACGACCCAAACATTTCACTAAACATTTACGTTGGATACTTAGATCTGGTGGATTGCCCGGACGTTCTCAGGACGTTCTCGGGCGGTCGCGGGAGAGACGTCACCGGACTTCTTCAGGCCCCGTGCTGCCCGCCCACTTGACCGGATGAAGGACTTCCCTCGGTCTCACCTGCGGGCGCCAAAGCAAACAAACTAGAGACGTCAAACTATAGAATTGCCGTATAATAACTACGTAACTACTTACTATACACTAATTACCCGCCAGTGACCCAGGAATTGTCGGAGATAAGCCCCGAAAAAAGAAGAAAAACAACAAACAAACAAACTTACTATGTCATCAGGAAAGAACTTTAAAAGCTTACTTTGCTTCGAGTGATCCCCACCATGACACTTCCATTATTTGCTTTCATGCATGGTGAGGAACATGTTGCAATGGTCGTGGGCTTTGTGGTTTGGGATTTTGCTTGTGGGTCCTCGGGCTCGCGTCGGGGTGCCGCCAGGGTCTCCAGTCGGTTGTGTGTTTTTTTCTGATTGTGTTTGTGGTTGTGCTTGTGGTTATGTGTTTGTAATTGTGCTTGTGGCTGAGCGTTTGTAGTTGCGTTTGTGAATGGGTGTTTGTCATTGTGTGAATGGCTTTGTGTGTGTGTGGTTGTGTGTTTGTGTATGTGTGCTTGTGGTTGTGTGTTTGTGACTGTGCTTGTGGTTTCTGTTTGTGGTTGTGGTTGTGTATTGTGTGTTTGTGGTCGTGTTGTGTGGCTGTGTGTTGAGGTCCAGTACTGCCCACTGTGATCTGGCACTTGCGGTTGAGGTCCGGCGAGAAACACTGCCACGCAGAATTCGCGGTTGAGGTCCGGCAGGGAACACTGCCAGCCGGAGCTCGCGGTTGCAGGGAACAATGCCAAGCGGAACTCGCGGTTGAGGTCCGGCGGGGAACATAAGTTATCATGAAAGCTGACGGTACCGCCCCATATCGCCCCATAGATGAATCAAAGTAGATGATTCTCCGAGGAAGGGTGAGCTATGCAAACAGTGTGCAGCACATTTTTGTTGATGCATGCGTTACCCCAATCAACAACACCACACCCCCTCCAGCTGTGATGAACCCCTCTCATTTGTGCAAGGCGCCTGCCTGAATATACCTATAAATCTCCAGGTATTTATAAACATATATGATGATAATGGTGGTTTGGTTTGGAGACATGATCAAAACCAAACAAAACCAACTTGACAAATCCACATTCGTTGGCTTGGTATGATTAAATATGCACAGGCAGTAAACGTGTGGACGTGCGAATTGGCCTTCTAAGGTGTCCTACTGTCCTACTTCCAATTATGTCACCGCCCATTTCCGCGTACAAGTGGTAATCCCCTAATCGATCACACCCTGCATATCCTGCATGTTCCAATTCGACCGTACCAACTATCCCAAGGATGATAGGGGTTCTATCCAACAATGTAACAATGCAACTACCCCATGCATTAGCACATGGGCTCCAGGGGTTCTATATGGTTCTATGGGCTCCACCCAGGCTGGTTGGTTCCAACCACCGTCTCTCTGCACCTTGCGAGCGCGCCAGGAAGCTCTTCACTGCAGAAGTCAACCGGTCCAACATACCTTGGACAGCAATCTGGAGATTGGTCAAAACCTGAAGCCCTGGTCCACCATGTAGCGAACAACCTTCCAGGTAGGTCAACAGCCATCTAGCGGGGTCTCCAAAAGGGGTGGAACGACAATGGCCCGTTACGTGGTCCTAGCAATGAGAGATTCCCTCGACCCGGTTGACACCCAAATGATCCCAGATGGGGACTTGATGGCGCCCGTGGTCTTGAGTCTGGTTGTGAAGATGGAGGAGGCTCTCCTAAACCCATCCTACATGCTCCACAGGACCGGAAATATGGCCTACCTTCACCAAGAGTGAGCAACGCCAAGAATCTAATGTAACTCTATATTTGCAGTCCATCCCATCGGCTCAGAGTCTACACTGTCTACCTCCGAACCCACCTTGCATTCCATCCGGGCGTCGCGAGGAATAGGCCTTCTTGGAAGAGCCATCCGGCGCATGATCCAAGCCGTCCAGGCGTACCCACAAGGGTTCGAAGTGGGGAAAGACCTCAGGTGGCGCAGCGGGCATCGGCGCAGCGTTCGGCATGGAGAGAGGTTCGTTTGGCGCTGTGAATGAGAGAGGTTGAGCGCTGGTTGTTGAGGTGTGCTTGGAGTTGTTTCCTCAGCTTAGTGATACCAAAAGAACTATAGAAAATTCCAAAGTTATGATTGTTTTTGTAGGTCCATGCATTCAGTGGATGCAATGTAAGTGGGCAGTGAGTGGTTGGCCCTTGGCAAATGGAACTTCTGGTGCACCAGAACTCCTGCACCAAAGGTTTCAGAGGCTTGATGGCATAAAACCCGAGACAACTTAAAATATAATAGTGGATTGAGAGGACCAATGGCACAGACCCCAAGAGGTGGCTTATATGGACCCTTATCTAAAGGACATCTTGGGGGAAACGTGCCATCGAGCCTCTGAAACCACTGTATAAACATATATTCCCTGAAGAGGATTCACCCCTGGGGGGTTAAAATCAACATCAACCCGATCTGCAACACCTTCTGGCACGATCCACTTCATCCCCAAACGAGTCTTTGAGATGGCCAATGACCGCCAATCCTCAGCTTCCAGCTGGCGAGGCTGACAGCAACCCCCAATTGGCCAACTCTTTCTTTTTGAGTGTCCAGTTGAACAGTGGACGTGTCTTTTCTCAGAGTGACTGAACAGTGACGCGCCAACAAGTTTTGGTTCCAATCATATACCTTAGCACTCCAACCATATCCTGAGAAGTCGCTTAGACCCCTCAAACCCACCAGCTTCGCAGTTCACCGCCTTCACCCGGTCTCCGGAGTCCGGGCACTTCTTGATCCAAGAACTTCTGTAGCCGATCCTCTCCCAAGGCCGCAGCCACGCTGATGAGCAGGGGCGGCGCATTGTTATAGGTCAGGGTGACCTTGACGAACTGAACAGTGAACCAGTGTCTCGAAGCCGGACCCCGCGATCCCCAGGGACGGCACAAGATGCTCCAAATGCATGGTTAGTAGATTTTGAGATGGAACTGCAAAAGGACGACGAACCACCAGTCATGGGGTGGCCATAGGACTGCAGACTCATAGAGCCGTTGAATATGCCAAGAACAGTTTCCCGTGGGGTATGCTATACAGTTTCCAAAAGAAAAGAAAAGACAAGCAGGGTTCAAAAAACATATGACATAGGAGTCGTTTACAGTAAGTCTTAGTTGCCATAACCACAGATGCCGGGAAAACCTTGTCCTGACAAACTTGCACGCGACAATACTGTATATATAGTTTCACGGAGAAAGGAGTGGAATGAACACTTCTCTGGGACTGTGAAACCCTTAAATAGTGGCTGTTCAAGTGAGTCATCCTGCAAATTCAGTCTTGAATCTTGAACAAAAATACAGCAGAATCCTCGCAGCGGGAAGAGGTATGGCTAAGCTCTCTTTGTTCTTGCATAATTACCTTATCACCAAAATCCTCCACCAGAAAACAAAAATAACGCAAATGAGCAAAAACACATCCCTAAATATATATAATTACTACAAAACTACTACTAAAACGACTTTCTCTGCCAACAGCCATCCCTCAAAAGTCTAAGAACCTCCGTATTGCCTGGGTGCCCAATGGACCTGACCAAACCTTTTGGGTGTGCCCAAAACGTGTGCCTTGGGCACCGCGATGTGCAGCTCCACCTGCCGGATGAAGGAAGGAGTCCTTTCTTTGTTGGTAAAAGAGCGGAAGGTTTATTCCTTCGTTCGAGGGATGGCCAGGGATACTGTAGCCCTTGTCGTCTCCTCCTTCTTAACTTGCATCTTCGGCCAGTTGACCTTGACCCATATTTCATATTTGGCCCAAGTAGGGTCACCGGGTTCCATGGTTGTGACACCCCCGACACTCCACTTCAGGAGCACTCCAAGAGATTTGGACGATGACTGTGACTATGAGTGACTATGGGGGGCGTTTGGTTTTGACATCTGGACACATGTCCGTCTCACTGCTTGTTTTGATTTTTCTCTGGGGATGGGCCAATTATATAGGGATCAAGAGGGCTTCAGCCCCCAAGGTTGAACCAAAACTGGTTCCCTGGGGGGGGAAATTATATACCCCCCTGAAGAGGACCACATTGAATCCCAAACCCACTTGGTTATAGAAAGGTTGGTCTTCGGACAAAGGGTCAAAAGCACCGGGTTGGACCCTTCTCAGGGTCCATGTAGTCCATTTTTGGTGAGGGGTACAATCCAACTGAGGGATAGAACAGGGTGCAAAACCCGCTCCAAGTCCACATTCTCGTGAACTGCACCAGCACGAGCTCTGGATTTGGCACCTTCGAAAATCTCTGTCTGTCGCAACAACCGTATACACCCACTTTGCACCCACGACCTGGGATTCTCACCTTTCTCCTTTGACCACTGATCCCCTGTTGCCAGTTTACCATCTCGTACCACTCGTTTGCTCTGTTGGGCATTCGGACACCTCACCCTATCTGCCCACCACGGGTGGTGCGTGAAGACCCCCCGGCGGTCCCGTCGTTCCGGACCGCCCGTCGCACCTTCTGGTTAATCGCCTCTGCCAGCTTGGCGCTTCGAAGCATCTCCAGCTGGGCGCTGTGCTGCTGATGCATCTGCATGGCCTTCTCCTAGGCGTGACAGAACGCATGGAAGAGAAGCATGAAGGGAGTGTGGCACACCCTCCAGACCAAGCTGGAAGCGGAAATCTAATTTGTTCATTTGTGATTTGAGGGTTCTGGATTCAGGAGGTGATGATCTTGGACATTGGGATCTTAAAGCTCTCTAGAATCTCTAGAGAGAGCATGTCTTTGGGCATGATTTGGTGTGCTCCAGGCCAACGATCCTCTGTCAGCAGTATGTAAGTGCATGAGCTGCCCAGACCTCCCATCTTTGGTCCGATCGCAGTGAAACTTCCCCTGCAGTTTCCTTGTCACATGCTGAGCCACACGCCGGTGCTTCAAGAGAAAAAGCAGTGGACACCTTCCAGGATCTCAGTCATCGGCTTGATCCTACCCCATCAGGCTCCGTGATCTCCATTGTTTTTCTGAAGTCAAAACCAAGGTCTCCGCCGCTGCCATGGCCACAACCACATTCCGCTTCATCTCTGCGTGCTTCTCCTGTTGCGCCTGGAGGTCACAGCGCTGCTGCTGGTTTTCCAACCTGAAGGCTGCGCGCACGCGATCTTCGGCGGCCGCCCACGCCGAACGGCGGTGTTTTTGGACATCTGGGAGGCACTCAGAAGCGCTTGGTCTTCGAAGACGGCGAATGAAGCGGACTGGCATATTTGTGGATGTTGATCGGTCAGTTCGTGTGGTTTCAGAGCTTGCAAGCATAGATGTCATACAGTACATGGAAGGTCTGTTCTTATTGCGGAAGTCTTAAGAAGGACTGGTGGGATATCAGCAAATATCAGCATTCTCCTAGGTGAAGCCGCTCAGGCGGACTGGTGTGAATCCTGCTGTGTAGGTGGACAAAAGGAATGAAAAAGACTTTGGGAGCTTAAACATCACAGAATAACACGCACACAAACATATATATATATATATACATACGGTAACAACATCGATCAACATAATTAACAACATCGATCAACATCACTGACTTACCAACGACATCCTTGAGGAGATCAAACAGCGTCACGCTGTGTTCACGCTGGCCAAACTGGAGCAGCTCCCAATTCAATCAGACCATTGTACGCCGTCAAGGTCGTACGACAGTGGGTTTTTGCTGGGTCGACCTTCGTCCAAACTGACTGGAAAAAAGAACCACGGGTCCCATGGCTCGCTACTTCCAGTAGCACCAAGTATATTCCTTTCACGCCGCTGCTCACTTCTGCCTACTGACGAAGCGCCGGAGTGGAAGTTCTCAGCTCGAAGCACATGACTTCTTTGCAGGAATTTGGAATGGGCATGTGTAGTGGCTTCATGTGGCTTCTATGGATCTGTCACATTGGTCAACCCTGTGCGTACTTGGTTCTTCCTTCTCCGTCGGGCCTTTAGCCGTAAGTCGGGAAACCCCGCTGACGGCTAAAGTGTGCTTCACAAATGTCACTTGGACTAGTTATAGTCACTAGCCAATCCATTTCATTTCCATTGCTGTCATATAGTCACAGCCGTCCTAGTCCGGCTGTGAGTGGGACTGGCTGTGAACTAGTCAATACAAATAGCATCAAATATCTTCCCGGATCCCCCCGGCGCCGAAGCAGCTTCAGTCGCTCCACCAACTGCTGCAATTCCTGGACTTGGACTAGTCAAGAACATCCATCCCTCTGTTGTTCCCGATGAAACGTGGGCAAACCAAGTGGCATTCCATGTTTATTTTTTTTCGTGGAATCCCAATCTATTGGAGTTCTTGTTCCTAGTAGCTTCTTGTTACTGGTAGCGATGCCAGGAGCCCCTGGCTCAGGGGGTGATGTGAGATGTGATCACCATCCCCGATCTCGCCATGGAATGTACCGAAGGGGCCCCATCGCATGCTCGCATGACACTGGCACTCCAGGATGTGTGAACACTTATGAACCACCGACATGCAGGATTGTGCCATCTTCTCCTGAAACGACTGTAATACAGAGTCTGAACATCAACACATTTCTCCATCCCAACGGTCTCTATATATGTCCCTATACGTATACTCAATCTCCAACACCGGATCATGAAGCCTTGTCAAAAAGTGACACCCCGCTCCACACCTTTCTCACTTTCGTCCCGTCCTCCATCTCCTTCTCCTTCTGTTTCTCCATGGCCTCATTCTTCCGGCCCGATGCCTCACAAACCTCCTGCGTGAGCTTCCTCTGCTCCTCCAAAGCAGCTTTCAACCGCTCCACCTGCAAGTCTTGGCCATCGAGGAGGATTGGTCTTGGTGCTGATGCCGAGTCGGTACCATTGGCAGGGATTTCAGGAAGGGGCTGAAGTGCAAACGGTCACCAACTCTAAGGACTCCTGGTGACCCACTCTAAGAGGCTCAGCACTCTCTTTGTCAGCTGCTTAATTCACTTGCGTGAGGCAGTCATGTGCCCTATGAGGTCATCACATTGTAATGATGTTGAGTTGACCGTGATTGAAACTCTTCACTTGGCCACGAGACCATGGCTTCCTCAACCAACGAAACACACTCTGGTCTCAGGATGAGATTTTCCTCAAGACCGACGCCCACATACCGTCACATAGCCCATACCCATCCATCTCCCCACCCTCTGAACTCATATTCCCTTCTTCTGGACCCGTTCATCCTACAACTCCCGACCCATATCCTCAGGCCAGGTGGGCCCAGAACATGTTGGAACCTCCTGGCACCCACCTGAACCACCTTCACCTTCGAGGTCGTCCCACCGCGGCCGCGGCGGCCTCCGCGGCCGCGTGCGCCAGCTCCTCGGTGAGCTCCTCCGTCCGGCGCTCCGCCAAGGAAGCGCGCTGCTCAGAGGCCTCCAAAGCCTGGCGGAGGAAGGTGGTCTGGTGGCACTGCCTGGGAGGAAGCTAGTCTTCCAGAGGTCAAATCCGCGTGCTTTTTGGGGGGGGGAGTTAGTCTTGTCTGGAAGATGAGGTTCATTTTTTTCAGTTCCGTGTGGGTCTCTTCCCAGTTTGTAGGGTATGGAAGCGAAACATGGTCTGTAAGATGTAGGGTGTGGACAAACATATTTTGGTTACAATGTCGTAAGAATTCATAAAATGTCTGAAGTTCACTCAATGTCTTAGTGTCTGTTCTTTCTCCTGTTGTAGTCAGCTGGGAACAACCCACTTTCATCCCAAAAGGGGCTGCCCATCTCCTCACGTAGATGCCCCTGGCCTCCACCTGAAGCACCTTCGAAAACGGAGCTAGGCCAGGAGTCCAAAACGGGATGCACATTGCCAACAAAGGTTGAAGAACCTTCTAGACTATCCCATAGGCGGTACCCCAGAATGGTCCTACGAGGTCACTGAACCTCTTGGATCCATGGAAGCCTTCAGTGCCCTTCAGCGAACGTCTGCCCCCTCCCTGTAGCACCTCCTGTAGCCGCAAATGCTCGGACAGGGCCTCCTGATCGCCGCAACGAGGCCCATCACAAGTGGGACGATGAACAGGTAGACATTCCCTCCAGGTCAATGACTTGCCGAATGGTACTCGCTTAAATCCAACACCTCCTGAGATGTCCAATCCAAGACGTGAAAAGATCATGGGGGCTATCATGGGGCTGCTGAATTCCATGACGGTGGGAACTACAAGTGCATTGGGCAACTGTGGAGAAGTGGACTGATTTCGCTTAGGTTGCACTCCGGTCTTGCAATCTTTCGGGTTCTGCTCCTCCAACTGTTGCTTCAAGGACGCCACCTGCGGTCGCAGCTCCTGAACATCGAAACTGAGCCCCGCTGTACAGAAGATCGCCTTCAAAAACTCAGGGAGAGGAGGGTAACCATAAACGGGGGTGGCAAATCTTGAGAATCCTGGATTACCCTAAATAATGTTCATCCCAGGTTCCAAGAAAGATGTTAAATTATAGACATGAAATGCCTTCACTAAAACAAATATCAACATGAACAGGAATTAATCCAAAGAAGCAATCTGTTGACAAAGCAATGACAGGAACTAAATACTAACTCAACAAGTGCATTTTTTCAACGATGCAAGTTGTTAAATTTATTTGGGGCGTTATTAATCAGGGCGGAACTTTGCTAACTTGATTCGGATGCCTTTGATAATCACAGGTCAACATGTTTTTAGATATAGCAGGGCCTGTCATTCAACTGTACTAGGTACAAGGAAACTGCAGTAATCACCTATAGTGGTCTCCTGCACAGGATAACTATATACAGCTAGTATACTATTATTTATGGGAACTTCGTGTGTTGGCCTGGCGTGTGTGCGTCAAGGCAATAGCGCGAAGCATAGTTTTCAATACATCCAACCCTCTGCACCATGTAGGATCCCCTTTTCGAATCGATGTTCTCCCATTTTCTCACCACTGAACTGCCAGGTGGCTGGCAGTATCCATTCGTTTCGCTTGGTCGTTCCCTCCATCCACGTGCGACCCACCAAGGCTGAACGGCGACGGCTGTCCACGCGTCCTTCAGCTGCTTGGCAGTCTCCTCAGCGGGAAGCATGGTCTTTGCTTGGTCGGAATGACTTGCCACCTGCCAGAACCTAGAATGTGTCGCTGCAACTCGACTGTCTGGTACTTCCTGAAGAGCATGGGATCGAAGCAAACAAATCGATATATATATATACCTAGACCCCATTTGAGCTCTGTTTTGATAGGAAAAGACCCTGTTTTGGCTCCAAAACACGGGTCAATCAGGTCCTAGGTCTATTCTATCTGACGTAGCAAGAAGCTACTAGGCTGGAGGCCATTGCTGGTCTTCGTAGCGTCCGGACGCGTGTGGAGCCCCGTTGTGCAGGGGCACCTCTAATCCAAGCGATCGAAAGCGAGCTTCATTCCGTCCATTGATCTAGTCGGACCATCCATCAAATGGGGTGGTTGAACAGGGGTCAATGCATTAGGCATGCCTAGATCATGTCCATCTGTGCAACATGTCTGCCTTTGGGCTGGCTTTATGAGTGAAAAAGCAGAAATTCTGCAGAGTTGGAAGATCCAGGTATATTCCATCCATGCTCTGGGCAGCACCTCACCAAACTAGGACTCCTTATCGGCAGATCCCATGGTGAATCCCTGGACATTCGTGCATACCAAAAAGGGTTGTGAAAGCACGACGCCTGCACCGCCTGGTTTTGGAAGTGGCTGGATGTTGGTTTGGATTCCTAAGCTCTTGGCCCAAATTTTCTCTAGGGCTCCAAGTACCTCCTCAGAAGGTTTTTGGATGTTTTTTGGACCCTCTCAACCCACCCCCAATCCCACCTTCCCCAAAGAAGGTACGACTGGAGCCCTTTCGTGGCCTTGATCTAGCCCCAAGTGTCAATGAGCTCCGACTGCAAGCGTGCTTTATCCTCTTGCAAAGCATCGCGCTGCCGCTTCCTTGGTTGTCGGTGCCGGTGCGTTCAAAGGCTGGTGTCGGTGGCCCCTTGAACTAAGAACAATCCCAAACGCTCCATGTAACGGCATACGAGCGGCATAGTTACCTAGAACCCACTTGACCCCTGCTTTTGATAGGAAAAACTTGGGGTGGGCGGTGTTTCCAAATCGAGGTCACCGCCCGAATCTAGGTACCTGCTCACGCACGCCCAATGTAGGTAAACATAATATGGTTTCAAATGTGTTTAGGTGGCAAGTCTGAGAATGGTCCCTGAGATAAAGTGTTCAAATTGCCCAAATTTTTGTGGGGGGATGGTGCAGTCACATGCTAATTGATGTAGACTCTTGATTACATTCCACCCCCCCTTATGAAGAGGATGTCCACTTCAATGGGGAGGGGCTATGAATCAAGAGTCCTACATTACTCTCAATCTGCAACTGATCTTGGGGCTGCTGGGCCTGTTGGCGACAGCTGAGGCTGTTCACTGACCCTCCAGTTTAAGGTGCGAAACACGTTTCACCTCTGGTTTGTGGGGTGAATGTCCCCCCAAACACTACAAGTCTGGGCTCCGAAACGCAGGAACGTCCACGGACGTCCTTCCGTCGCCTCTCCCAAACCCCGACCGAAGCGGAGAAGTCCCCGTCCCTCGAGGGCGGGTCGATGCGGCTTTGCGCACGTCGTCGCACTTGTACCTATGAAAAGCGACAGCTGCAGCCACCTGGTGATACAAATTCATCCATAAGCATCCGGTTTTTGGGCCTCTGCTCATCTGATTCCGAGACTTGTCCAAAACATTGACGACATCGTTTTTGCTTCATCTGATTGCATCCGAATAGATGGAACGCAAAAAACCTTGGGAACGAACTCATGCGGCCAAAGGCTCAAGTGCTTCAAGCTTGCAGGAGTTAAGCCACAAGGCTCCTCCTTGCTTTCTCACGTGTCCGGTCAGGCCTTTTTGTCAAACCCCAGTGGCCCCCGTGGTGGGTGAGTGGTTTGTGGCTTGCATTCAAAAGAAACAAGACTAAGGCGTGTTTACTAGGCGTTTACTTGCCGCATCTTGCACCAAGTAGAATCTAGGGTGCTGGTGTCGGACACCTTGGAACTGTGGCAGGACCTTTCTTGGTTTAGTTCTTTTTTGGTTTCAAGTTTCAGACCTTTCTTATCATTTTTCATTTTGTGATTCTCAGCTTTGGCTTCTGGAGTTGAACAAAAAGAAGCCGAATCTGCTTAGTACAGCGAGTAGCCCAGCGGCGGGAAGAAAGGAACAACTTCTCTGAAGTTCCTATATAGGATCCTATAGCTGGGTCTGTGTCTTGATGGGTTACATGCTTCTACTTCATTAAAACGTCCTGAGTCTTCCCACCAAAGGATGGGGCACGGGGTGTCCATCCAAAAAGACATTAAAAAGCCTCGACATCGTGCTGGAGGAAACAGGCACGCTACGCTCCATGTAATTACAGAGTCAGAAGGCTGTAAGACAACTCCACGTCCTGCAATATGGTGCTGATTAGTGGTTCAGTTGGCTTGCATCTCCCAACGCAGTTCAGAACTTCGTCACGCGACATCTTTGACCAGGAGGCCCAGCCGGGGCCGCGGGGGAGGAGATCTCTCTCTCTTTCTCTCCGAAGATCCTTCTCCACCTCTTCCGAGGGCTCTGTCTCCAGTGAGGTCAGTGGCAATGAGACGGTGGCCGTGAGCGGAGAGCCCGGCCTGTGGAGCGAGGAACTCGGGTCGAACCCCCAGGGCACCAGGGCACCGAGCGACCTAGAGGTCGAGCCATCCGCGAAGGGAGCAAAGAACGGTCGAAGTCTTTCACCCTAACAGAAGGGTTCCCTTTCCTCTAAGTCCTCCAAGCACCTCTCCAGGCCTTGAAGCGCTGAATCAGTCCTTCTGCACCATCTGGAGTTTGTGTTTGTCCATCCAAAGGGGTATTGATTGGACTTACTTACTTCAACGAGCTTCCCGAGTTGGCTTGAAGCAGTCCACAACCACACCTGGCACGGGCCACACCATGGCGAAGAGTTCGAAGGAGAACTCGACGGACGAGGAACGAGGAGAACATGTTGGATTGAAGATACTTCCCCTAGGGCTCCAGTCGTACCTCCTCAGGTTTTGTATGACTAGACCCGAACATGGCACCCACCCCAGTCCCACCTTCGAAACGAAGGTACGACTGGAGCCCTAGGGTTCGTATTGTCGACACCTATATCTTGCAGTATCATTGCAGTGCTGCAGAGTGCTCCAGGAAACTGGTGTTCTACATCACGCACACCTGGCACAAGAAGACATGAATCTTCAAGTGCCATCCGTATTTGATGAAGCAAAGGAAACCCGGCCCGGACCGCACTGATACAGGAAGATTGAGGTGCACCTCGAGTGGCTCAATTAGCTTAAACCCAAACTGGTGACACAAAAAGTTCCTCCTTCGCCTTCGCCAGCACCAACTTCCTGGGATTCCCCTTCTCCACCCATGGACCCCTTGAACTCCCCAATCTTCACCCCTCTCCCCCCAATGAGGCCCGCACCCCTCCACGGAGAGGGCACCGCCCAAGCGCTTCAGCACATCCGACGTCCGGCCGCCCGCGCCCGCACGCGGCACGCGCGCGAGGCCCGAGTGGGCGCGCTGGAGGGAGTTCGCACGCTCCATGCAGCCGGGAGCCGATACTGTTACTGTTCCAGGCTAAGGCTAAATAAAGGCTGCTAAGGGTGCTTCTTTTCCGCGTTTTGACCATCGTCTTGACGGGTTGATCTGAACATTGCGCCTGCACACTAGTATGCCAAGTGTTGAGTGTGGTCTGGCACCAGCATAAACTACTAACATCTACAAACCACTTTCAACAGTATCAATGATCTATTGCATAACAATTGTTCCGGGCATCAAGCTGGCTTCGAGCTGTCTAGCTTGGACTCCAATCTCGCGGATATCCATCTCTTCAGCTCCACTTTGAGCCGATGTGCCAAGGCATCACTGAGCAGTCTGAATCTCGCCTTGACGGTGACATGTCTCTCCCAGAATATCCTGGACATCCAACAACAGCATGCAAGTCAAAAATCCATGCGTTCCTCTTTGTAGATGTTGCTGTTTGGTTTGATGTTCACCAGATGAGACGCCCATGTCCGACCCATGCGCCCCAAAGTCCCACGAGATCCCAGGACAACACGTGGGACCCTCGAGATTTGGAGATCCTAAGCTCCACAACATGTCACAAGTCTTGCAAGGCCCTCAAAGTGTGAGCTTTGATCATCAATCACCAGCTTGGAGTACAAAGACACAGTCTCCAACATACCACGCCCACAAAGGGCAGATGAGAATGCAGGTAGACACAGTGCCTTAGAAGACTTTTAGCACTAACTTTGAAGTCTGTAGTTTGTGCTTCCCCCATCTTACTCCTACATTTGAGACATGTTTGCATGTAGTGTCGCCAAATGGACTGATTGGCAATGGAACAGTGCCTGTCACAATGACAAAAACGAGACAGTGTTTTTTCTTACTTGACAACTTCTTCAACCTATCAAATGGTGATATCTTTGGATGATAAGACCCTCCGCAGCGAGAACGAGCATCCTTTTCAACATGTCCCTCTCCAAAGTCGAACATGTCGCCTCCCCTCGGTACCCCGCACGTCCACCCGTTCGACCCAGTGACCAGTAGTCGATGCCATCCGGAGAACACGTGGGTGAGGACCTCTGGAAACGGACCAAACGCGGCCCCGCCCACTGAACCGAGTGGGGCGCATCTGGATGAGTTAAGGACTGGTGCAGGTGCACTGCCCTGGAAACAAGCTCGAGTTCTTGGAGAACGTACCTATATAGGACCGTCTCCTAGGACCATAGCCCAGCTTCGAGAGCCCCTACACCTAGAAAAACCAGCACCTTCATTGTCGGGGTCACCTGGCTGCAAGCCCCAGCCCACTACCTATATATCTCCAGCCAGGACACCCCGAAATGAAGGTCCAGGTCTTATGCAAATTTGTAACGCTCAGTGGGATCTGGACTACCATCCTACTAAGTCATATGGAGTGTCTATCCGGGATTCGACTGTAGATCACCCAGTTTTTCGAGCACTGGCTTCGGCGGCGCCCGAACGCGCCGGTGTCTCACATGGTCGACCTTCAGCCGGAAAATCCGGATCTGACATGATCTGACCGTCCAGATCTCAGGGCTGCTGCGACAGCCTGCGACACTCGTCCCCCTCTCGGCCCTGGCTCCGGACCGATGCCGCCTCCGGACACGGCCGACTCGTCACGAACTGGGAGCTCCCCACGGGAGGATGGCCTGCCGACGCGGTCCGTCCTTGAAGGTTGCGAAAGGTTGCTACATCTTTGGAATGGATTGGGTCCCAACGATTGCCAAATATTTACCAAATATGAATGGTTTTTCATGGTTTTTCTGCTTTTCAATACCCGAAGTTGATGAATCTGATGGATTTCAGTCCCTTCAACCTCCCAACCAGGCGTGAGCCGTGGGTAAAAACCATTCGCAAACCATTGGCAAGTCAGTGGTAGTGGTTTGTCATTAAAATAGCTAAGGGGGTAAAGCAACATTATGCAACCATGACCACTGTGCCTTTCCTGCCTTCCTATGTCCAAGCCAGTCCAGGCGGGCACCCGACAACAACTATGTAGTACAGTAAGTGGTTTAGGCTTTTCCGAAAGACGCTCGATTCATCCAGTTGATTCATTGGACCATATTGGACATGTCGGAGCTTGATCTGAAGCGGGCTTTTCGTGGGAACACAGGGCACAGGATGAACGAATCACACGTGCTTGTGGGTCAGGGCGATCCCTGCATGGACCGCCCACAAACAAAGAGTTGGAGTGGGTCAGGGCCTTGTTTTGCCAGTTCACTCAAGGTTGATGAAATCCTAAGTTCCCAACTGCTCAACAAGGTCAAGGTCAAACATAGTCAACGCTCGATGTCGAAATCATCAACCAGCACCTTCAAAGGGGTCACCAATGGAAGCCCTACACTACCTAGGGATCTCCATTGGACACCCCTTTGAAGGTCCAGGGACATAACCTTCACCTTCAACCATGCGGACCTTGGCCCAGTGCAAGTCCTTTTGTCATTCTGCGCGTCAGTCAGGCTCCATGCTATGCGGAAACTGTCCCGAGCGGGTCAATTCAGTATATTTTCCATTTGCCGTACCTAAAGCCCTGGGACCACCAAACAGCAAAAACACAATTCTAAAAACAACCACCAGCAGTCACAAAGGGGTGCTTAATGGAGGTTAAGGGCCTTGGGTGTCCATTATATTTATCCACTCGCTTGGGGACTAAACACCACCCCTTTGTGACTCCTGGCAAATGTGTTTTCGCAGTTTTTGAAAATGATTTGATCGCACTCTTCTGGTGTCTTCTGAGCTATGTAATATGGTGGGTGGCTTTGGGGCATGCAAGGGGCTGCAAATCATTTTGTCCACTGCCACAAGCTGGACAAAAAACAGAAGTACCGTGTTATGTTCGCTGTTGACCAAACATGTCCCCATGACCGGGGGGGCGAACACCGTCGACATGAACAGGTCTGAACACTCCGAGGTTTTCCGCGTGAAAACAGACACGTCGACCCAACACGCTCCGGGGACATCTGCATTCTCAGCGCACCAAGTGTTCACCTTTTCGGTTGAACTTCGGGATGCTGGGAGGAAACGCAGCGACAGCAGGGTGACGGTGAGGCTTCCAGGCCAAAAGTTGGGATCGTGGAGCGTAACGCGATGATGGGTCTGAAAAACATTGGGCCAGGGGGTTATCCTATAAAAATGCAAACTTCAAGAGTTCCAAACGAATCTTTAGATCTTTTGGGCTTCAATAGCGCGCAGTCTAGGAGCATGCAGCATGCCTTTGACACTCACTAGTTTCTGACAGCCCCATGGGCAAAATAATGTATTATACATTCATCAAGCACAAAGCTGATACTGATACTCAGGTGCCTCGAAGATGGTTGTAGCAAGGGTCGTGTTCAAAGAAATATGGAGCTTGTCTTGAGCAAGCTGTATGGACACCAACAGCTCGCAGCGAGCACTAACAGCCAGTCTTTGATAGTCTTTGGTCATACTGCGGCAAACATGGCCATAGTGGCGCAAGTCTACTTGCCGAATCCAGTCTCGGCCTTAGCTTTATAGGTCCTGCTTACTTAATTTCCTCCTTGGCCCCTCACACCGTTCTCGTTCTTTCTTGGTGGTGTGTCTCACTGTCTTTCCTTATGCCTTTCATTGTTTCTAATTCTCTTGTTGTATGTCATTTTCTTTCATTGGCTTTTTGTCTTTATTTCTTTCTTTCACTGTCTTCCATGGTCTTTCATTGACTTTTCATCGTCTTTCAGTGTATCTCTTTCATTCTTTCTGTCTTTGTTTTTTCCCGAATGCGTAGCGAAGGGTTCTCGTTTAACTCTGGGGGTCTGGGGGTAGAGTCTTGTTCGCGACCCGTTGCTTCTATGTTCGCAACCGTCCGCAACCGTTCGCAACCGTTCGCAACCGTCCGCAGTAGGTCGCTAAGGCGCTGCCATTGGGGGAAGCTTTTGCAAGTGACTATGCATGGATGTGTCACGTGTTAGTTTGCGACGCGAGTCCATTGTGATTTGCGTGAAAAGGACATGTCGCGCAAGAAGCGTGATGCATTTCACTGCACAGGCGCAGCGTTTTGTGAGATCCGCAGTTTGCTACGCAGTTCCATTGGGATTAGCGTTTGGAGAGTCGTGTTTTTGGGGTGTTGGATGTGGCCGTGCCATTGGGATTTGCGTTTCAGGGTGTGGCCTCGAAGCTCTGTTTTCGTGACAAGTCTCAGCTGAAATGCCGATTTTGGTGGATGGGAGTGTGCTCAGAACAGGTCGAAATCATTCCAAACGTGTGGTGTGGTGCAAATTTTGTTGAAGCTCACATGAGATGACATTGTTACTTTTCGTGGCAGGCGCAGGACTTTGTGCGGGTTTTGAGGTGTGGAAGTGGGATTTTCGTGGCAGGCGCAGGGAATCGTGAGGTTGCGATGTGTGACGGAGGTGACTGGCAGGCGCAGTACTTTGTGCGCGTTAGACGTGTGGACGCGGAAAGATTCGTGGCAGGCGCAGGGAATCGGGAGGTTGTGAGTTGTGGTAGAGGTGAATGTCGCTGTCACATTGGGATTGGCGTGTGAGCGGGTGTCGTTTGGAGGGGCTGGAATCGCGAAACTGCTTGGCAGGGCTGCGTGATGTGTGTGCTCCGATGGGTGTTTCCGCTGGACTTTTGGAGGAAGTCTCGTGCGAAACGTTCGTTTTGCAGACTTTGACATGTGAGTTCTTGATGAAGTCTCGTACGAAACGCTCGTTTTGGGGACTTGACATGTGACTTTTGGAGGAAGTCTCGTACGAAACGCTCGTTTTGGAGACTTGACGTGTATTTTGGAGGAAGTCTCTTACGAAACGCTCGTTTTTGAGACTCAGAGTGTCCTACAAGAGTGTCCCACAAGAGCTTCCTACAACAGTGTCCCACAAGAGTGTCCCACAAGAGTGTCCGACAGGAGTATCCCACAAGAGTGTCCTACAAGAGTGTCCCACAAGAGTGTCCCACAAGAGTGTCCCGCATGTCCCACAAGAGTGTCCTACAAGAGTGTCCCACAAGAGTGTCCCGTATGAGTGTCCCACAACATTGTCCCACAAGAGTGTCCCACAAGTGTG